TATATAACAAACTCTGTATTTTGAGTGGAAATGTTAGGGGGTCGTCTTATACGCCCAGTCGTCTTATATGCCGGCAAATACGGTAGCTGGTTTTTGAAGGTAAAGTTTTAGACGAGTATACTCGTCGATGACTGAAAAAAGAACATTTTGTGAAAACGTGTATACACGTTTCTGCCGGGGAAGGGGTTAACAATGAATAGAAGTAACTGAGAGAATGGAAACAGGAACCCTCATACACAGTTAGTGAGAGTATAAATAGGTACAACTTAAAAATACAAATTTTAAAAACACATCCCTTTTGACCCAGTAATTCTACTTTATCCCACTAGTTAGAGATGTACACAAAGATTTTTGCATTACAATCTCTGAAGCATTATTTGTAATCATAAAAATACAAACAACATGACCTGGCCGGTGTTCTCAGTGGTTAGAGCATCAGCCCATGCACTGAAGGGTCTTGGGCTGGATTCCCGGTCATGGGCATGCACCTGGGTTGCAGGTTTGATCCCCAGGCTGATTGGGGTGCATGTGGGAGGCAACCAATCAATGTGTCTCTCTCACATCAATGTTTCTCCCCACCCCCATCTTTCCCTCCCTTCCACTCTCTCTCTAAAAAAAAAAAAAAATCAATGAAAAAAATATTCTCAGGTGAGGAATAACAAAAATAAAATAAAATATCCACATGGAGCAAAGTAACAACTCTAAGATGATCAGTCAATTGCAGTCATCAGTGATGGTTATGACGGGAACATTACTAAAATTTCCAAATGAGTTTAATTTCCCAAAATTATTAATGCACTTTTTCATAGCATAGAATATATTTATGAAACGTTAGTTAACATTGTATTTTAAATTACTTCATGTCATAGTAATTAAATATTATCAGGAATGTGCAACCAAAATTAACATGGGCAACATGAAACTTACCCCAAGATAGTGTATACTCATTCAACATTTCCTATTTGGTGGCAAGCACCATGCTCTACATATCTATTCCAAGGATTCTATACTTTCAATGACCTAAAACAGTAATTATTGATGGTTAATGAGATACATAGGAAGAAATAATTTCCTCATGTCTTAAGTGGCCTCACAACTTCTAGGGCCCATTCACTAACAGTTCCCTAAAGTACTTTGGAAGAGTTAAGATGTCCCTTAAGAACTTCAGTACCTAGAAATGACAGGCACAAGAGAATATCCAGCTCCCCCAGGAATCCTCTCTATGAGGCCTACAAAAGGATCATTAAAGCAACTATTCTACTCTTTCTAGAAAAGGAAAATTAACTCATTGTGTCCTATAGGGATCTAGAGGCTTGCTAGAATTGTTACACCAATTTTTATAACCTAAAGGTATTATATCAACTTTTCTGACCCACTGTTCTTAGTACATTTAAGCTTGTGAAACCATTATGTCTCAACATTTTATTTGGAAAACATGGTCAAGGAATACAAGGAACCCAAGTAAGGAAAGGGAAAGGAAAGCCGAACAACTACATGTTACAACCTGACTTTTGCTATAACCTAGATTTGGAAGGTTGGAGTAAACAATTTTTAATTCAATGGTCTTCCAACTTTTTTGATCATGCATCCCTGATAATAATAATAATAATAATAATAATTATATATATATATTTGTTGTTGTTGTTAATCCTCACTTGAGGATATTTTTCCATTGAGTTTTAGGGAGACTGAAGAGAGAGGGAAGGGCAGAGAGAAAGAACCATGACAATGACGCATGTGCTGGGCCAGGGAGGAACCTGCAACCAAGGTAAGTGACCTTGGCCGGAGTCAAACCCACTTTAGAGAGAGTGGAGGGAGGAAGTGAGACAGAGAGAGAAACATCTATGTAAGAGAGACACATCGATTGGTTGCCCCCCACATGGGCCCTGACAAGGGCCGGGGATCGAGCCTGCAACTGAGGTACGTGTCCTTGACTGGAATCAAACCTGGGACCCTTCAATCTGAGGGCTGATGTTCTATCCACTGAGCCAAACCAGCTAGGGATAAAATATTTTTAAGTTCACATCCCCAAATAAAGCATTTACCTACAGATATATGTCTGCACTAATATATTACACACATTATAAAGTACATGCAAAATTTTTACATTAAAAATATACGATAAAATTACTTTTTTAGCATTAAATTTTTATCTATTGCTACAAAACCCTTTTTGTTGTTATTAAAACTTATTTTAACAATGTATTTTTAGGGAAAGCAATGTTAACTGAATATTTAGAAAGAATATTGGTTTAGCACTTTTGCTGTATACCAAGAAGTATGTATTATTCCCACTTTAGAGATGATAAAACTGAACTTTGAGATTATATAATCTGACTAGTGTCAGAGCTATAATGTGGCAGAATTAGGATGCAAACTCCATCTTTCCAACTTTAAGACCAGTATTCTTAACTAATACATTATGAAAAAGGAAGCGGAGAAAACAAATTCATACTAAAGTGAGACACATAGAAAGAAAGTTTCCTCATATCCTAAATGGCCTTACAACCTCCAGGGTCCATGTACTAAACAGTGTCCTAAAGTGATTTGAAAGAGAAAGAATAAATCCCTTTTATCAATCTGAATATTATTTGCTTATCTGGCTCTTATTAATATAATCAGTTGCAGTCCCTGTATGACTCTGAGTAAATCACTTAACTTATTTGAAATCTTAGTTTCCAAATATATAAATTGAGGGATTTCGACTAGGTGATCTTTAAAGTACCTTCAGTATTAAAATTCTAGTACTCTGGGCAGAGCACAGAGGATTTTTAGGCAGTGAAACAACTCTCTATGATACAACAATGGTGGGTACATGTCATTATAGATTTGTCCACATCCATAGAATGTACAATGCCGAGAGTGAATCCTAATGTAAACTATGGATTTTGAATGATAATAATGTTTCCAGGTAGGTTTATCAACTGTATCATTCAGGCAGGAGATGTTGGCAATGGGGGAAGCTATGCATGTGTGGGAGCAGGGGGTATATATGGGAAATTCTGTATCTTCTGCTCAATAATGCTCTGAACCTAAAACAGCTGTAAAAAATACAATTTATTTAAAAATTCCAGGACTTAAATACAAGAGCAAATGAGGCATACATCTGTTAAGCAGAGAAACCACACCTTTGCTGATCTCCACATTAGGTAGGCTGAAGATCTCAAGGTCCATCATCCCTCCTTTAGTTCCTTCTGAGAGGTCTAAGAGGACAAGTCTGTCTGCAATGCCCTGTACAGTACAATAAAAAAAGAACAGCATTACACAGGGCATGCCCGGTTACTCAGCTTAAATTCATTCAGAAGTGAGGGCTAAGGGAGAATGCAGAGGCGTCATATGCTGTCTTAGGAATCAAAAGTAACACAATAATAATGAAAGGGACATCCAAGCAAGAAATTATTATGAATACCGTGATCCTTTAGGCTTGACTGGAAACCAAGGTGATGACATATGTTGGAAGCAAGATCTCAAATGCTCTCTCTAATCTTTAGAATATCCTTATATTTTTACATATTGTATCATTATCCTACATATACTAACAAACTTATAGGGTAATATATATAAATGAGATTGATGGATTAAAGGAGTTATTGTGTTTTTTATTGTCATTTATTACTATAAATGACAAAAGGAACATCCTAAAAGTCTAATTACCTTTGTGGAAGGTCTTTTTCCAAAATAGTAGGGGATTTAAGGCTCTCTCCTATCTTAGACTGCAGGGGCAAGAGTCCCCAGGGATCTACCTGACTACTGGGAAGGAAGTGTGGAAGTTAAGAAAACAACCCAGCTGTACTACCTATTCGCTCTGTAATGCTGGGAAAGTCACTGAACTTGGCCTTACTTTATGCGGTGTGAGGATTAATTATGTTACACAGGGCTCGCAGAGAGCAGTCCCCTCTAAATTGTACCAATTAATTTTATTATTGTAAGAGAAATGCCAAGAAAGCTGAGTTACCTTTTTAAATTTATCATACATGCTAAGATCCAAAAGTTTAACAACTGTAAAACAGGTATTTTCATACAAGGTGGGTATGAGAATAAACTGGTATAGTTGACATGGGGGATAATTTGACAATTTCTATCAAAATTGAAAAACACAAAACTCCTTTAATCCATCAATCTCATTTATATAAATTAGCCTATACGTTTATTAGTACATGTAGGATAATGATACAATATGTAAAAATATAAGGATATTCAAAAGACTAGAGAGGGCATTTGAGATCTTGCTTCCAGCATATGTCATCACCTTGGCTCAAATAAACTCATTTAAAAAAAAAGTCTAGAAAAAACTTAAGTGTCCATCAATAACAACAGGAACAACAAAGCAGTTTAACATAGTGGTTTGGAGCAGAGTTTCTCAAGCTTTAAGAGATCACATTTAATAGATCAGGGAAGCACATGGGATTTTGTTAAAATGCAGATTTCTACCGTAGGTCTGGAGTGGGGCCTGAGATTATGCATTTCTAATAAGATCTCAGGTGATGTCAATGCTGCTGGTCTAAAAGCCACATCTGAGTAGTAAGGTTTTAGAATATAGATTCTATGAATAGACTGCCTAGCTTCAAATCCTCCATTTACTAACAGTGTGACTTTGGCAAATTGGTAACCTTCCTATGTCCTGGTTTCTTCATTTGTAAAAATGGCAGTAATGATGGTATCTAAGCCATAGAGTTGCTGTAAAAATGAGTCAAGTGTTTAAAATGAGTGAAGTGCTAGCACCTACTTAAGCATTCAGTAAAGGTTAGTTATTGCTGCTACCACCACTGCTACATACTACTGTCACTATTATGGCTACTATTGTACTATTTGAATATTGTTATCCTGTATCAAAATATTAATGTTCAAAAAGAAACATGGAAAAAAATTTCCATCTAGACAGCTCACAAAGAAATACTGACAGTGAGACTCTGCTAACAACTAAACTAACATGACTTTAAGAGGCCTTCCTGTACTTAACAAAAACAAAGAAAACTGATAAAACTCAGTACTGTTAGGAATGGCAAAAATCTGGTTGATATGCACGTTTTTATTAGCAGCATAAATTTGTATTGCCTTTCTGAAGAGCAATCCTGAAATATGTAATAAGTGCCATAAAAACCATTCATGTCCTCTGACTCACTAGTACGATTTTATACACACCTAAAAAAATTCAGATGAGAAAATAAGCAACTTGTAAAGCAATGTTTACAGAAGCATTCTATTCAGTAAAAAGGAAGTGAAAAAAATTCCAATTCCAATTAAGAGGGAACAGTATATTCTGACGGAGGATGGAGGAAATAAAACTATAATGTGTCAAAAGTTAGCATATATTGTTCTGAGCGGCCAGCTTTAAAATTTTCTAGCTCCCTAGATACAATGTAATCATTTGCTGAAGTAGACCCTACCTCCAAGACATATGTGATTCTTAAATGGAAGAAATTAGATGGCAAATAATCAAATTTTAATAGAATAGAAAACCAAATGCCAACTACATATACTACCAAATGCCAGTATATGAAGGGACAGCTAGTCTATCCTGGGCTATATCCCTCAAATGACACAGACATGCTGTTACCATGATTCGGGCCCTGGAGGGTCTTTTGAACCACTCTGGAAGGGGATTCAAATGCCTTTCTGAAAATAATTTATATGGAAACAATCTAGTAAAAAGGACTGATAAAAATAAATCTCAAACTATCAACTCAGGAACTACGATCATAGAAGAAAGCAGAGTAATTACACAAAAAAGGCAACTGTAAAAAATATTCTAATTTTAGAAAAAGCAAAATTAATTTATTAAATAAGAGTTTAATTAAAACAAAAGAATTTGTGATGAAGTCAGATGAATGTCAAATTGTTTCCCTTGAATTAGGTTGATGACCCCATTATTCAAACCACTTTTTCAAAGCCTATTCCATGACTAACTGCTAATTAAGAGGCAACATCCCTAATGAGTTTTTAGCCATTTTTTTTGTCAACTCAATATATTTTAAGGCAAAGTGAGTTTATTCCACATGAAAAAATTAAACATAAACTACCTAAAAGCATATCAATATGATATATATTTATAACTACTACTAGAGGCCTGGTGCACAAACTTCGTGCACGGGTACAGTCCCTAGGCCTGGCCTGGGATCAGAGCCATCTTCCCAGGCTGCCTGCAGCTGGCCCTGCCCCCTGCCACCACCCACCCACAGTTCCCCATTCGCCATCAGGTGATTGGAGCCTGATGGCTGGGGGAAGGGACCAAGGTCGGCCGTATCCGCCTGCTCACCAGCCCCGCCCCAGCCGTGGGTTGCCCTCTGTGTGTGGGGCGACTGGTGGGGCAGAGGCCATGGCCTGGCACCACCCATGTCCCCCGCCACCCACCCCTAGTTCCCCATTCACCATTGGGTGATGGGAGCCAGCTGGCCAAGAAAGGGACGAGAGGTGGTCAGTGTGCCTCATAGTGACTGGTCAAGCAGTTGTTCTGGTCATTCTGCCATTAGGGTCAATTTGCATATTACCCTTTTATTATAAAAGATACTAACATACCTTTGCTGAAATTGCTAATGTGCAGGCAACTCCCAGTTCTCCACCTCCAACCACAGTAATTTTCTTTACTGTTTTATTCTCATGATTTGCCCAGTTCTTTGAATTTATGTCTGAGATACCTAGAAAGAAAAGTGAATGATCATGACAATTTAAAAATAATATCAAAAACCTTTTTAACATCTTTCAAAAAAATACACCAAGCTTCACCGAAACCGGTTTGGCTCAGTGGATAGACTGTCGGCCTGTGGACTGAAAGGTCCCAGGTTTGATTCCGGTCAAGGGCATGTACTAAGACTAAAAAACAGGATTTCCATAATTCTGGAAAACATTCTGATTCTTACTACTGTGGTTTAAAATGCAAAAATATTTAACACCTCACAAAATTTTGCAAGTATGGATATTTTACTTTATACTCAGTGAGAATTACAGATTTTCTGGTCTAATATATTGAAATGAGGCAAAAAGATACATAAAAATATAATGGAAAAGTTTTGGGATCATTAATACAGGGGTCAGCAAACATAAGTTTATAGTTTTGATTACGTGAAACACAGAGTTTTCCCTGTAATATTTATTTGTATTCTTTTGATTGTTATTGTTATTATTATTACTTTGTATCCATATTTATGATGTATCTTTTAGGTAATAATGGCTGGCAATTTAACCTACTTTTGCCCAGCCCTGTATAGTCAAGTGGTTTTATACAAAATACAAACTATTTTATTTATCAGTATAAGGGTAATCTTTTATATATTTTTTAAAACTCCTCACCCAAGGATATGTTTTTATTGATT